CTCTTGGGGGAATTCAAGTCGATTTCGGACTGAGGTTACAAGTTACTAGGTACATTGTATATAAGGAGGGGTCCGGAATCAAAAGGAACAAGGGTAGGACAAAAGGAGACAAAGGGAGATGGAAAGAGGAACAACACCGAGGGTCAAGTGTTTGACTCAATGGTGTTTCCCAAAGGAGGAATGAAGGGCCAAGGCCCAAGAAGGAAGGAAGGAGGATGGGAGTCGGGAATGGCTAGCTGACTGAATAGAAGGAAGCAGCAGCCCAAATAGGAATGAGGGAGAATAGCGGAATTGAAATGGACAATGCAATAGTTGCAAGGTCCGGAGTAAGTCCGGAAAGTCCGAACTCGGAGGCTAAACTCCGGAATATTGGCAAACATAATTAAATGGAATGAGCTAACCAATACAATGGGTATAAGCGGAGGTGGGGTCAAAGTCCGAGGTCGGAGCTAAGACCGGAGGTTCCGGAGATGGAGATGCGAACGGGATTCCGGAGCAGAGGTCCGGAGTCGGGAGCATAGGTTTTGCGTACTCGTCTGGAAGGTGTCGAGGTTGGGGTCGGACCCGGAATGTTCTGGAGTCGGACCGAAGGTGGTGTCCGAGCCGGAGGTGGGATAACCTCTTGGGAGTCGGCAAGGAGAAAGTGACGGAAGGGAAGTAGGGCTCCAGAAGTCGGAGTTCGGAGTTCCAGGAGCCCGGAGCGGAGGTCAGGATTGTATGGATATGACAACACCCATGATAAGGAACTGCTCGCCATTCACAATGCATTCTGATCATGGCGTCACTACATTGAAGGTTCAGGAACTCCAATCGATGTCGTTACTGACCACAAGAACCTCGAGTATTTTTCCACCACCAAACTCTTGGCCTGGCAGCAAGCCCACTGGTCAGAGTTCCTCTCCCAGTTCCACATGACTGTCCGATTCCATCCCGGAAGACTCGGAGTAAAACCAGATGTGTTGACTAGACACTGGGACGTCTATCCCAAAGAAGGGGATATGGACTACGCTCGCATCAATCTGCAGAACTTCCGACCGGTCTTCACTTCAGAGCAGCTCACTGCATCCTTATGAGCCATGTTCCTAGCTGCCATGGTAATCCGAGCAGCCATACTCGTTGACACAGAGGCTCTCCATGGAGACATTCTAGCCTCCCTCTCCTTGGATACCACAATCTCTTCTCATCTCGCTTCCCCCAACCTCCCCAATTCCCACTGGTCCGTTGATGCCGAAGGCCTGTTAAGGCTGGACAACCGCATCTACATTCCCGATTCCAACGATCTTCATCTCCACGTTTTGCGAGACAAACACAACCACCAACTTTCCGGACACTTCGGTCAAAACCGGACTCTGGATCTAGTACGTTGTGAGTATACCTGGCCAGGCATCCATAACTTCGTCAAGAGCTATGTCTCCTCCTGTACTTCTTGTGCCCTTGCTAAAGTCCCCTGTCATAAGCCTTATGGTTTACTCAAACAACTCCCCATCCCCTAATGTCCTTGGAACTCCATCTCCATGGATTTCATTGAACAGCTACCCTCCTCTTCCGGATTCACTTCCATCTTGGTCGTCATGGACTGCCTGTCCAAGCAGTGCATTTTCATTCCTACCCACGATACTGTTGCCTCTCCGGAACTGGCCAAGCTCTTCCTCCTCCATGTGTTCTCCAAGCACGGAGTTCCTTCCCACGTCACCTCCGACAGGGGTCCGGAGTGTGTTTCTCATTTTTTCTGTTCACTTGGTAAGGCCCTCGATATCCGCCTCCACTTCACCTCTGGTTACCACCTGGAAGGAGATGGACAGACTGAACAGATGAACCAGACGCTCGAGCAGTACCTGCACATCTACAGTAACTACCAGCAGGACAATTGATCTGAACTCCTGCCTCTCGCGGAGTTTGCATACAACAACGCTCCGAATGCCACCACAGGCGTCTCCCCATTCTTCACCAACAAAGGCTACCATCCAAACATCACCATTCACCTGGAGCGAGACCTAACATCAGTACATGCCCAGGAGTACTCTGTAGATCTCGACTCCCTCCATCACTTCCTTCATGAGGAAATGCACCTCGCTCAGATCCGTTATCAGGGCCCAGCAGACTCCCATTAGAGTCCTGCCCCAGCTTTCGAGGTAGGAACTTCGGTCTATGTAAAGGCCAAGTATTTCTGCTCCACCCAACCTTCCAAAAAGCTCTCCGAGAAAAACCTCAGCCCATTAGAGATCATTGCCCACATTGGAACCCACTCCCTCACTCTCCGCCTGCTGGAAAACATGCAAGCCATTCACCCGGTATTCCATGTCTCGCAGATCGAACCCTCCGTCCCGAATGTCATTCTGAACCACCACCAGCTGTCAGGGACTGTGTGTCAGTTCACGACGATAAAGGTGTTCCCGAGAATCCTAGTCGTTGTTAACACTGAAGTGCCACCTTCAGCGGAGATCGGGCTTATATACATGGATACCGCTATCCACTAGTGTGCGGCTACAAATGAGATAAGGAACAGCCGATAGAATGACAACATGAAAAGATAACTATTCATTCGGATAATCGTAAGCGAGGTGTGGGAAAGGGGTGACATGTGGATGGAAGATAGAAGCGGGATGCTAAGCGAGAGCTAAGCGAGATTACCTGCGTTCTTCGGATCTCTCCGGATCGTCTGACGGCAACTCCCTTCCAGCATAGGGAGTCAGGGTAGCTGGTTAGGCCATGCCCTGACACCAGCCACCTCCGCCTCCCATAGAAATCAAAAGCAAGATGGAGTTCGAGATCGAGGAGATACTCGACTCCAAGATCGACCAACGAAGATGCAACAAGTTGCTCTACCTGGTCAAGTGGCTAGGCTATGAAGGGACCGACAAGGAGACACAATGGCTCCTTGCCAGCGAAGTCGATCATGCCTCCGACCTCGTCGAAGTGTTCCACTCTCGGTACCCAGACAAGCCTGGACCTGAAGCTCCTTAGGAACCCCGACTCCTCTCCCATCTCTCCCTTTCTCTCCACTCCTCACTCCCATTTTCATTTTTTTCTTTCTGTAAGTACAGCTCCCCTCACCTTACTAATTCTGGGCCTTCAAGGGTTCAGGCCTAAGAAGGGGATACTGTCATATCCATCCATGGCCATCGACTTCCACTGCCTCCGATCCCTCCAGACTATCTCCACTCCTTCTTCACTAACCTCAGAGCTCCCATATTCCGCAATCACCTCACATCCCTCGATGGTCACCACCCCCTCTTTTCAATTTATTACCTACACCTCCCTAAGTACGGAGCCCCGAAGGCTTCCGGACAGCTCTGACGTCTGCTAGTGCACCCCCGCCTCCACTGGGCAATACACTTGCTTGCCCTGCAAGCCCACCTTCAGGCCTATCCCTTCTTTCCATTTCTGGGTTATCGCCTATCATTCCGCTAACCCTGTAACCTGACTTGTCGGTAAATATTCAATCGGCTAATGTTTAACTCTGTTAGCTCCACTCCGCTCGGCCCTGCCATTTACAGGCCAACCCTCGTTGTAACTATATATACTCAACTTGTACATTGGTCACACCTCAGTAATAAAATCGACTAGAGTTGACCCCCTTTTAGTTCTCGTTGCCAGTAAGTAAATTAGGGCACAGACGTGTAACTTGGCACAGTGCTCCTGGCATAAGTCGCTGAGACCGAAGCCCTCTGCCATGGAGACATTCCTTTGTCTCGATCCGGTCTCTGACAGCGGAGTTGCCCACGACAACCTCGCTTTGTCCAAGGTTGACGTGGCACCTCCACATGACCCATTTTCACATGTATATATACTTAGCCAAAGCAGGACCGAAGAAGCACCTTCTTCTCATTCCTGCTTCAGGCAAGTGGTTCAACTTAGTTTAGCCTTTCACCTTAATAACAATACATTCCCGCTTCAGCCTAAGAAGCCACACAGGGATGCCAGCCTGAGTGAGGGCTACCCACCATATGGTCTCACTGCCCTGCCACCGTCTGGGCCACTAGCGCTGAGCGTTACGCACGATGTTGTGGTCGAGACAACTGTTTTTCACTGTTGAACTTGGCTCCAGATGCTATGCACCAACTGTGGAGGATGGAGAAGAGGTCAGTCAAGTCATTGTCCTTGGAGAGGAAGGCAGCTGCATCATGGGTGAACATGGATATGGTTACTCTCTGGGAGAGAGAGGGGGTTTTGATTTCAAGATGGTGGTGCCATTTTTTCTGTCCCTTGCTGTAATAAAGTGGTGAGTAATAATGTCCTTTTTTGGTGGTGCCATTGCCATTGGGACATGGTGATTTTTTTCCTAAATGGCAAATCACATCTTTTGCGGTCAAGATTTGATGTGCAGATTTTTTTTGACTGTTGCTGTAATATATAATTTGTTCATCTTAGTGAGAAAGCAGTGGGATGTCACCCTAGCCACTTCTAAATGTGAGGAATGAAGCAGTAAGTGAGCACAGCGCTCTTGGAGGAAGCCCAACCTGGGAGCCTTGTCCCCCCAGTCACCCCCAATTTGCCTGGAACTTCAGAGCCAGTGTGGGGGGAAAGAGCTATGGAACATTGCATTTTATATCTGGTCATCATCACTGATGGCCATGGATTACTTAGAAGCGCTGTTGACATTAGATCTCATGATTAACTCTCTGAATTAACACCATTTTTGGATTCTCACACAATCTCCATAGATCATTTATCCAAATGGGACACACCCATTTTTCTTTGGCTTGTTGTGACAAATATCGTAGTTGTGTTCGCAAACCTAGATACAACAACACGATCCAGTAGAGACAACAGAAAACTGGCCTGATCTCCACCCTCGGGTTGGATCGCCCCTGAATTTCCCGAGGGGCGATCTAGCTGATCCGATCTGATCCTAGGCCCATATATCCTCACAGTATATATTTCACTGGCATATGTCCTTTGCCCTTGCCATCAACTTGGTTACTGGGACCCCCTTGGCTCTAACTGTCATATATCACATATTTTCTTGTTGCCTCAACCCACTCTCCTGCACCCCCACTATGTCTGACATGATGGTCGATGAACTTATTGACCCTGTCTCCATTGAGGCCACAATTCCACCCTTCGACATTGATAACCCCCAGGCAGAGGAAGGCTATGGATCTGTCTCACAGGATGTCATCGCTAGGGCAATGGTAGGGTCAAGGTCTGCTTCAAGTGAACCTGAAAGGGATCGCTACTACCGCAAAATGGCTCATCCCCTAAAACTAAGCCTGCTCCAAGCCCTCTACAACAAGGGAGATGGTGAAAAGGCCTTCAGCCTTTTGAGGAGGAAGTGGCACTTGGAAGTTGATGCCCATCTCTATGCACCTGGTGGCTCAGAAACCTTCACCCACATGATGGCAGGCCATTTCATTGACTTCTCACTCAAAGTCCCTGATCATGCTGGGTTTGATGCAATCCTCCCAACAATTGGTGCAAATACTGAATGGTGCTTCCACCTGAACCTCTGTGGTTCTGTGCGTGAGTTCCTCAATCACCGTGGTGATCTTGGGTTTGACTCCACTGGGCGAATGCTCCACATTGGGACCAAGGACCACGACAATGTGTACCTTTCCATGGCACCCAAAGGGTTCCTGGATGGCACTGATGACCTGGTTGCACCTGGCACGCATACTGGGACCACTCTGATGACCAGGGCTCATGTGCGAATGGCAACATGCATCATTCTCTGGGCAATGGGCGAAATTCCACACAGGGACTACTCAACCAGGAAACCTAATATCTATGTGGAGTTGGATGGTGGGCTTCAACAATACATGCAAGTCACAGATTGGGTGTGAGCAAAAATATTACTTATATATTACTTATTATGATCTACTCCAACTAACTCCATATGCCACAGGTGCAATCAGTCAGGCAGGGCCACATTAAGACTCCGTGATGTGCGCTCAATGCACCAGACACTGATTGACAGATATGAATCAGAATTTGTTCGAAATGCCCCAGGAGTGTGGAAAGATGACCCTTGGTTTTCCCAATCAACACCCCTCATCATCACCATGAAGTATGGCCAAGACTTGGAGTTTGACACTGAGCATCTTGAGGAGACTGTGGCTCATTTCCACCAGAATCATTCATTTGAGCACATCTCATGCTGGAGTTTTGCGCTTGCCAGCCACCTTCGGTAAGCCCCAGTATATGTATTATATATTTCACATGCTTTGACCACCTGCTTCCTAAAGTGCCTGTGTAGTTAGGGGAACAGAAATTATTGATCCTGCAGACATCGTGGCAGAACATGGACAAGTCTTTGATGAATATGGACAGGAAATTGATGACTTGGACGAGCTTCCATATGAAGATGAAGATAACAACCCCATCAATATTTACGATGCTGGTGGAAATATCATCAACAGGAAGATATCTTTGTACAGACACTCTGAGGCCCCTGGGGGGATTCTTCTAAAACTGGAAAATGTCCACACCATGTTCGATCGTGTCTATGGGAATCATCGGCAGTCAGACCCACACCGCACTGGCAAGGTTGTTACAAAAACATACCCCCAAGCTTTCATGACCTCCTTTGGTCATGTGCAATCCAACACTGTCTTTCCAGAATTCCACCAGACTGCCCACTCCATCAACCAAAGATTGCTGTCACGCAGACGCCAAGGTGGGACTTTTGCAGAAGACAATGGCAGTGGAGGAAGTGAGGATGATGATGAGTATTTCCCATCATCAGCTGATGGCCATGATGATGGTGATGATCACATGCTCAGTCCTTCTGAAATTGATGCTGTGGAAGAGGTGCAAGGCCTCATGCGACAGCATGCTGTTGAGCCTGTCAAAGGTGTCTTTTTCCAAGCTTACAACCTGCTTCAACATTGCATTGCTCGACGGTCAGGGGATGCTGAGACCATGCATGGCACTGTCACTGCAGCCCTTGCAGGGAATCATGCACAACCCCATGAACGTGCTACAGCAGAACGATTTTGGTCATACCTGGAGATCGGGATGCCCCCTGAACGGATGAAAGAGAAACCGACCTCTGTGGCCCATGAGCCACCAACAGATCTCAGACTGGAGAATTACTGGACAGTCAATTTCACTGGGATCGCAAAGGAGAAACGGAATGGACAGTGAGTATGACAATATATATTTGTGTCCCTAGTATCATATGCAGTTTGGATTTGCTAATCCTTCCATATAACAGATGGGTATTCAACCATATTATCACACCCCTCCTGAATGCTTGGGTGGAGCCAACCTTGGTGGAGAAACTCAAGCATAACACCATCATCTTCAAGCAACATGTATGTGTTATTTGATACTGATTTTATGACGAAAACCAGCCTCATAATAATAATCCTAATTTATTAGATCCTTCAACGTCTGTACCTCTGGACTTCCTATCCCCTGTTCTGGGCAATCCAACATATCTATCAATGTGACAAGGCACAGCGCTCACGAGGCCTTCGACCTGACCCACTATCACGAGAACTAGTGGCAGCACTAGAGCGTGCTGGCAGCTTTGGATTCTGTGGTGCAGGAAAAGTCTTATCAACTCATACTATGGATCCCCTCCTTCTCTCTATTGGGATCAAGGAAACAGGGTTCCCCTGTCTGAGCCAGATGATCGAGTTCAATGCCCAAGCTGACGAGAAGATCACAATCAATGCCTCCCAATGGCCACGAGATGCTGATGGGATCCCTTGGTTTGCATCACAACGTGTGGTGCTCTTTAATTATTCTCAGGGAACATATGATGTAAGTGCCTTCATCATAATGGCCCTTCCCCCCCAACCCAGGGCAATCCTGCACCCCTGGAAGGGCTCCAAATCCTTTGACATCATGATTGGGTAGATCCCAACTCTGAATCGTATTAATGTTCGCGAACACAAATACGATTAAAGGGACCATATGATCCAGGTGGACCTCTACCTGCCCTTTGGCCCATATCGTACTTGAGTTCGCGAACACAGATACAATATTATGATGGCAGAACTCTGGACCACACTTATTATGGCAGGCACCAATATATTGTGATGCAGCCTGTGTGGTTCAACTTTGTTCATGAATGCCTGTACCATCCTATTCTGGCTTCACTTCATCATATTATTATTGGATAAAGGCACTCACAAATTATCTACTCACTAGCAACTGGTGGCCACATGCTTTATCGAGCATATCCAAAAAGGGATTCATTTTTCAGATGATGTTCCTGATACATGGTCAACCCAGATGCGGACAATCAGTTCACTCGCCTCCTATGCCGTTGATTCACTGGAGAAGGATGCCTTGTATGCAATTGAGAAGGGTATCAAGGATTACATCCGTGCTGCATTACCTGAGGTGGATGGGGAGAAACGGCGCCAGCTTCGTCGGCAAGCTGCAGAACTCAAGCTACTCTGCCAATCCTTACACCCATTTGACAACTCAAAAGAGGCAACAGAACGACTCCTTCTTTCACTCTACACATCAACTCAGTCCATCCAGTCTGGACTCAAGAATCTGCCTAGAATGGATGTGCATGAATGGGTCAGGGGGATCTATTCCATGGTTTCCCCCCCTGCACCCAACCTTCCCCAATCATCAACAACATCAAGGGCCCCACCACGCCTGGGGGCTCCCTTCTTTCGACAAGGCTCTTCAGCAGTCATCTTTACTCAGGTATTTGATGCTCTTCATGAGCTCTGTGAAACATCAGACTGGTGTGCCCAGCGTGATTTCTGTGTTGAAGGGATTGTGGCCCAAATGGAGTCACATCGTGTCTTCCGATACCCACATTCAACCTACAACCGCATTTCCAGGAGGTCCACAGCATGGGCACAGTATCACTCATGGGTAGATTTGGTCTACCCTCATACTGGCCAATGGATCCCACCCCCCCATCCCACCACAGCTGACCCTGATCGGCTTGCTGCCCACATTGAAGTACCCAGATCATGGAGAACAATCCCCAGTCATCATGGAACCGGAGTGAGGTGAAGTTATCAGATCTGTCATGGATCATCAAACATTCCCGACTTCCCCTTGATTGGATGCATAAAGAGATCATGCAGGATCCAATGTCTGAGCTGTTGAGTACATGGCTCAAGGACTCCTACACCACCTCGGATCTTAGGTTCCACCTCAGTCTGATCGCCTCACTGATCCTCACAGCCTGGGCTCCAAACCACCGCATCAAACACCAAAGTGATAAAGTGTCATCCAAGGTGGCAAAGAATGCAAACATGGTGGAATATGGAAGTACACTAGCATGGGACCTTGAACATAAAGAGCCAGGATGGATAGCAAAGGCACCACTCTTTCATACCTGGTTGATCTTCATTTCAGGGGTTTTGGTTGACACAAGCCCTTGGTGGAGGCTCACCAACGAGAAAATTGAAGTGAAGACAGTCAAGCTGAGTGATCGAACAGTTGCTCAACTGGGAAATCGTGAGATGCTGAGCAAGTTTCACTCCAGGATTCATAAGTTTTTTCCCCTGATAGCTGTGGTAAGACAGAGTTGTGACTTTATTCCATTTCTGCAGAGCAGAAAGGGGTCTATGTTTCAGTGCTCTGTCATCTGAATCTGGTGGCTGCTCGCACACCTAATGCCTTTAGGAACCCCTCTCAGTTTGGGAAAGACTGGACCCTCCACAGCTCATCTGAGCTTGAATTCAGCTTGGGAACCGTAATGAAACACCTGGCTTCACCTACAGGACTATGCCAAGTATTCTGTGCTGTGAGTCACTTCCTGGGTGATCAGTGCAGGGAAATGCATGTGAAGGAAGGATTCCAAGTACCACCTTCAAGTGTTTCACTTCAGATCCCATCCACTTTGGGCCGTAGAGCATCTGATCAATCTCTTAGACCTGACTCAGAATCTTCTTCCGAGGAGAGAGGTGGTCTTAATGCACACCCTCATCCACGCCCTCGAAAAAGGACAAGGTTGGAGGAAGGTGCAACATAGGGCTTCTGGGCTCATTCCCTCTTCACCATTTCAAAATTGGATGCTGAATATATATATGTGCCATATCTGTGCAACTCCTGACCTCTGATTCAGACTCCAGTGTAGGAGAAATAATAATATTAACAATCATGAAGTGCTAGTATAGTCAATAACCAGATGACAACTTCAAATTAACAGATCTCATGATCTTTATGGGACCCCATTGACATAATCATTGTGTTTAAGCCAAAAATTTCTGCATAGGACATAGTGGGGATTGTATGGGGATAATGCAATTTCTGTGACATTTCCCACATCAGATATTTGCTCTGTCTGTGTCAGGGCATGCCCCACCTGACCCCGCTCTGCTGCCCCCCACTCTGTGCAGCACTGCTCTTTCCTTCTTTCCTTCTTTCTTTCTTTCTTTCTCCTACATGGACCACCTTTCCCTCTGTTCAATGTACCACTGGCATGCACACCACATCCCCCTCCTGTACCTACCATCCCTACATCACCATCACTGCCGCTGTGCTTGCCTTGCATCTACAGCAGACCCTCTGGGGATCTCCCATGGAAACACCTGGAGAGCCACAGCACCCCCCAATGGGACTGCCGCTATGCATAGCCGCTTCTTGTCCCATCAAGTCCCCCATGCTGGGACTTTGCCACTTTCAGAGCTGCCCCTGACAGTGGAAGAAGGCTTTAACCCTATTCTCCTTACCTCCCCCATCTCCCCCACTATGGTGACTGAAGAGCAGTATGATGAGCTGCTGTCCCAATTCCAAGAGCTCCAGGCCATCATAGAGAGCCAAGCTCAAAACCAACCCCCAGCCATGCCTGCTCTGGCACTGACACCTGCACCAACACCTGTGCCCCCAAACCTAAACCACCTAAGCTTGCCCCCCCCCCCCCCACTGCCTTCTCTGGAGCAGCTGAAGACCTTGACTGCTTCAAGGCTGAATGCGGCATATACTTCCATGTCCAAGCAGCAGAATTCCTGCCACCCTCCTTGACAACCAGTGGTGGCATTTCCAGGTGATGCAGCCCCACTTGCCCCCTGCCAGACCCCCACTCCCTACCACTCTCCCACAACCATGCCCCCCAGCTGCCGCCACTGCACCACTGCCCCCTGTAGCCCACCCCATGGCAGGGGCAGGGCCACAACCCATGGACCTCGACTGCTTGAGGACTGACCACGGGCTGTGTTACAACTGCAACACACCAGGGCACATCACACAGGATTGCCCGCAACCGAAAACCCGCTGAGCCAGATGGATGCACCCAGAGGACCTCAGAGCACTCATGGAGGGGCTGTCAGAGACCAGGTCGAGACGAAGGAATGTCTCCGTGGTGGAGGGCTTCGGCCTCAGCAACTTATGCCAGGAGCCCTGTGCCAAGTAACATGTCCATGCCCTAACTTACTAACTGGCAGCCAGAACTAAAAGGGGTAAACTCTAGTCGATTTTATTACTGAGGTGTAACCTATGTACAGGTTGAGTATATATAGTTACAACAAGGGCGGGCCCGTAAATGGTGGGCCAAGCGGAGCGGAGCTAACAGTGTTAAACATTAGCCAATTGAATATTACCGACAAGTCGGGTTACGGGGTTAACAGAATGGTAGCTGATAACCCAGAAACGGAAAGGAGGGATAGGCCTGAAGGTGGGCTTGCAGGGCAGGTGAGTGTATTTCCCAGCAGAGGCAGGAGTGCATTAGCGGACGTCGGAGCTGTCCGAAAACCTTCGGGGCTCCGTACTTAGGTGTCAGGGCACACACCCTGACTAGCCCGGACCTGGACCCGCATCCAGACCCGCTTCCACCTGCTGTGCTTCCCGCATGCGCACACGCTCCACGCGCCACATGCTCTGGGCCCGGTTCCTACCCCTTCATGTGACTTCCGGGTATCCCCGGAAGTTTTGCTGATATTGTGGCCACTGTGGGAAGATGAGAAGTTAGCTTCCTTCTCATCTCCTTACCCCCATAGGATTGTGCCCTGGATAGGGCTGGCCAGACCAGAGGCTGTGGACCATAGGGGAGGGTCATGGGGACCCGGGAGTCATCCCCTGACATTAGGGAGGCATAGGTAATATATTGAAAAGAGGGGGTGGTGACCATCGAGGGATGCCGAGGTGATTGTTGGAATACAGGGGCTCTGAGGTTAGTGAAGAAGGAGTGGAGGTAGTCCGGAGGGATCGGAAGCAGTGGAAGTCAGTGGCCATGGATGGATATGACAGGGGCTGAGGAGACAGCTGGTAGAAGAACCCAGGGATGAGATCTATGCTGCTATCATCCCCCCAGAGTGGGGACATGAGCTAAGAGCAACCATGATGCTGTCGCAGCAGATGGCCCAGGAGGCTCATGAGCTGGAGGCAGAGCCCGCCCTGTTTGGAGTGCTGGTGCCAGAGCAGTACCAGGACTTCTGAGATGTATTCTCGAAGGAGGCTTTTGATCAGCTGCCCCTGTGGAAGCCCTGGGACCACACGATAGACCTAGCAGCGGGTGCCAGACTCCCAAGAGGGAGGACCTTCCCCCTGTCGAGACCAGAGCAGAAAGAACTGGATGAGTTCCTCCATGGGAACCTGCAGAATGGATGTATATGACCATCCAAGTCCCTGATGGGGGCACCAGTCTTTCGTTACACCTGGTCCAGGACTACTGCAAGCTCAACGAGATCACAGTGAAGAACTCATACCCCCTCCCCCTAATAATATTGGAAGAATAGAACAATGATGTATCAGAATAGTCAACAATCAGCTGTCAAGTTCAAATGTTTAACAGATCTCATGGTCTTTATGAGACTGAACACACATTACTAGAAGCTCATTGTAATTATCTGCACCCATGTAGCATGAGATTGAAGCTACTACAAGCATGCCTAGAACCTGACATAGGTGTAGGAAAATATAATATTCAAAGAATATATCCCTACAACAAGAAAATAGCACATAGATGGCAGAATAAGAGGGAACATTGGGAAAGAAATGTAAATATCCCGGGAACCAGAAACCCTTTGACTGAAATCTCTTTAGCATCTGAAAGGACTGTTTCTTAACTTTATCCACGGTTTTGTTTCATTCTAAAAGCTTCAAAACTGACGGAGATATCGCTTAAACGGCGAAACACCTTATAATTCACATATATTTATTTGCTAATTCTTACAAAAAGTAATGTGACTCAAGGGGAGTATATTGGTGCCCGGAAGTCTGGCGGACCGAATACCATATGGCAGAGTATTCCCCAGTGTGGACAGACACTTTTTGATCGCATCAGTAGAGGATAAAATGCTAAAACACCAGAGCTTGTATATTTTCCCATGATTCATCAAAACTTTTTGATTTTGAGCTCAAATAAATCGGAACAAAGGAATGATTGATGATATGGATCCCTGATCATAACCATAAAGTGATTCAGAAGTCCACAGATCTTTTAATTAATTGGGAAGGCTCTAGAACATTTGTCATATCGGTACATACCAGATCCCGATCCGACTCCGGACCCTCTGCTTCACCACCTCCGGAGTCCTACCCTACCTCCGTCCACTCCAATATCCACCTTCGAACCAAACATCACACCTCCTCCTCACTCCTCACATCACCTCCATCCACTCCGATATCCACCTTTGGACCTGACACCATTCCTCCTCCCACTCTTCTCAGCACACTCCTCCCTCTGACCCTCTTCCACCAAACCTCCGCCAAGTTACAACCTTCCGCCGCCGTCCCATACCTCGTACTCGGACACCACCCATACCTTGCTCGGAGACTCCATCATGCTCCTGAACTCGGACTTTGACTCCACCTTGGCTTAAGTCCATTGCATTGGTGACCTCATTCCATGTAAACACCATTGCCAATATTCCTCATATTTTCAACCCCACCTCTGCAACCTCTGTTAGCTCTGCAACCTCCAAGCTCCACAGACCATACTCGGCACTTTCGCCGCTTGTAATGTATCTTTCACGATTTCCCCTCATCCTTATTTGGACTACTGCTTCCTTCCATTTTAGCCAGTTAGTCATCATCCCCACTTCACCTCATCCTCCTGCCCCTCTGGGCTTCGCCCTCCCTATCTCCTTTGGGATGTACCACAGGGTCTAACCCATGACCTTCGGTACCGCTCCATTTCCATCACCCCTTTGTCTCCGTTCGGACACCTTTGTTCCAATTTGGACCCCCTTTGATTTCCTTGTGCTTTCATCTCTCCATTATATACAGGCGCTTGTACATACTCATTTTGGGCCTTCAGTCTAAAATCGACCAGAAATGCCCCCCAGAGACTTCCTGCTCACTGCTTCTGAAATTAAGGACCAAATGGACAAACAGCAATGGCACAGTGCTCCGCATGAGTCGCTGAGGCCAAGGTCCCTCTTTGCTAAGTCTCCAAGTCTCCAGTTCCCCTCCAGAATCGTCCGCCCTCACCCAGTTCTAACAGATGCAGCTTCACAAAAAGGGGTGAATTAGAGCACAGTCTAGAAAATTCCTTTAGAGCTGAGTCATTTCTAAAGATAAGCATTCATAATTAAGGCAGTGTAAAGCATAGCTTTAGCACTGCAAGGCCCCACTGAGATCGGCTTGAAAGACAAAGAACTGAATTACTTATTGCTAAGTCATGTCCTAAGTCCATTATTAAGCTTACACAGCCCAAGCCCCTATATCATTCTAGAACTATCTATAATACACATGTAACTAGTGCATGGTGTGGAAAAATCATAAAAGGCTGCCACTTCTGCCCCTCTCAAACCTCAGGTAGAAATATAAGTTTAATTCTCCTCACCAGTGGTTGGTTTGTTTGCTCCAAAAGATAAAAGCAAATATTAGTTGTTAGCTAATATAAAACTAACACATCACTCTAAGTGTGAGTTAGCGTCAGTTGGACACAGCGGAATAAAAGTGTCATAGTGAGAATTAGTGAGAATTTAAATTGAATAATCTCTCAGTAATACTTGGTTATCACACCACAGGAGAAAAGTGAGCGATCCTGAGCCTGCTAGATAACTAGCATGCACTCTAAGCGATACAAAG